ATAAATATTTTAATTGGAAATCAAAACGCGGAGCAGATCTTGCTGGGTAATTACAAGATTTTCATTGATAATATTTTACTTTGCGTAATCATTAATAATATTATTATAAATATTATATATATTACTATAATTACAAGAAGATTTCAAGGCAGCATTGACTGACATTTGCAGAAGAAACAATTCAAATATGAAACATTTTGATGTGATGTTTGATTATCGGGAATTTATAGACGTTGGGGCACACACACTACCTTGAACACTACAGTCATTCTCACGTATTCCTCGTGTACACAAGGCTAATCTGACCGAGTCACTCTCAATGATATGATGCAACAGAATTCCAGGGGAGGGATGTTTGGCCCTGGAGTTTATCAAAGCTGCATCATTCATCAAAAGACACTTGAATCTTCCTTCACAGCACCATGCCAAAGAAGGCTGCCATGCTAGCCGAAAAGTTGCTTGCAACGATCCACCTCTAGGGTAAGGATGGCTCCGTGACCAAGTTGCAACTCTGCTGATGAATTATAGTGCCATGTAAATACCCAGATCCATCAAAGCAACGAGAATCTGTAACTTGTTTCAACCACAGGAGGTTACAATTCAGAGCAGGGTTGGTAGCCCTGAAATTGCTTTTGGACTCTGATGTTAAGAGGAAAGTTGTAAAATAGTGTTTGTTTTGTATAATCACTTTCCTAAATTCTCTGTTTCTCTGATACTAACTAACAAATTTATAATTTTGGGTAGGGGACTGGATTGGGTTTTTGCTCAATCAGTTCTCTGTCCTGTAGGTTAAAATTATCACATGATTATATACATCTTTGACAGCAATATGTATGGCCGACAAGGAAAAAGTCATAAAATGGCTTGGATTTTGTTTGGTATGTTTTGTGCAAGTTAAACATTTTCCCAAATTTTCTGTTTCTCTTTAATCTTTATTTGACCAACTGAACTTGTTATTTAAATAAATGGGGTAGGGTTGTTGGCAAGTAGGCATGTCACTGACAAAACAGGAGACGCCTTTGAGATATACCAGCCAAACTCATAGAAAGGGATCTTTTGTCCAGACTTAGGGTCACATGGATGTTAAGCACAG